GACAATCTTCCACAAGACGAGGAGTTTGCTCCTCCACCTACCAACCCTGTCCCAAATGCTCCAGCTTTGAATCCTCAACAAATGTTGGAGACCATGCAGCAGCTGATGGCCCAAAATCAGCAGATACTATAACTCAGGCTCGTCGGACAAGGAGCTCAACTTGGAGGACCACAGCTTGGAAGACCTCAAGGAGCTCCATGCTCTGGACATCAAAAAGCTCCACACCCTGTTGCTCCACATCTAGGCACCCATACAAGTCTGGGCGCCCCCTAGGAGTCCCCTTGGGCGCCCCACATAGGGGAGCCCACTATGAGGGATTTCTACCTCCTCTTCCTTCTACTTCCCATGGTGAAGACCTTCATCCCCAAGAGGATGAAGGCGAGAACCAAAGGATGGAGCATAAGAGTCATTTCTATGACCATTCCAGAGGAGCCCCTAATCATTGGGACAAGAAAATCAAGGAAGTGCAAAATCAACTAGGAAACTTCTTCAATGCCATGAAGGCACAAGGACTCGAGATAGTAGACAACCTAATAAGGCGAACATACATGATTTTCAAACCTCACGTGGCAAATTACCCCCTGCCTCAAAAGTTTAAAATGCCATATGTAGAGACTTTTGATGGAACGAAGGATCTACTAGACCACTTCGACACTTACAAAACCCTGATGCAGCTGCACAATGTCTTAGAAGAAATTATGTGCAAGGTGTTCCCAACCACCTTGAAGGGATTCACACGGCAATGGTTCGCTAAACTCTCCCCATACTCCATTGCCTCTTTTGCTGAGCTAAACAGGTCGTTCGTGTCACATTTATTGGAGGGCGTCGCCACTGGAAGCCTATCACCCATCTGCTTAGCATAAAGCAAGACCAAGAGGAGAGTCTGAGGAGCTACCACACTCGTTTTAACGAAGAGGTACTCCAGGTTGATGAGCCCGATGACAAAGTGATTATGACCGTCTTCTTAGGAGGCCTCCGCTCATTTTCAATGATGAAACGCCCACCAAAGAGTATGTTAGAGCTATTAGCAAAGGCCCAGAAATACGTGAATGTTGAGGACATCATAAGGGCCAGGCAAGGTGAGTCCTCTAGAGTAGGGCAAAAGANCCTTCTTAGGAGACCTCCGCTCATCAAACTTCCTTTTTCAATGACGAACCGCCCACCAAAGAGTATGTTAGAGCTATTAGCAAAGGCCCAGAAATACGTGAATGTTGAGGACATCATAAGGGCCAGGCAAGGTGAGTCCTCTAGAGTAGGGCAAAAGAGGAAGGAAAGAGAAAGAGACGACAAGAAGAAGACTAGCAACAAGCACAGCAGAACAGAGAGGATTCCTGTCAAAAATCGACTAGGTCCTGCTCCTCAGAAGAACTGACAAGCCTTCACTCTCCTCAATGTCACTGTCGGGCACATCCTATTCCAGATTCAGGATGACTCCGCGATAAAATGGCGGGGGAAAATGAAGTCTCCTCTAAATCATAGAAATCCTAACAAGTATTGTCACTTCCACCGCGATCACGGTCATGACACCGATGATTGCTATGACGTCAAAAGACAAATTGAGGAGCTCATCCAGTGCAGTCACCTACACCAGTAAGTTGCTGGTAGATAACGAGCACCACCACCTCACAATCAAGAAGATCAGCAACCCATTTGGGAGATCCACACTATCTCGGGAAGACTAGCAGAAGGTGGAGAATCACTCTCTACTATGAAGGCCTACGCCAAAAAGGCGAGACACTTCGACGAGTGGCGCCCATCCAAGGCGCCAAATTGTAAGAAGGTACACAAAATTAGAATTATTTGTCAAAAAGTGCATAACTCTTAATGTTAGGTCATTAAATTCTTATTTTTAGAACTTATTTGTCCAAGTACANCTTCTTATTTTTATAACTTATTTGTCCAAGTACACAATTTGACTTTTTGTAATTTTTTTTTGACATATTTGTCCTTCCTTAAATCATTCATATTTCTTTTGACAGTTAATTAGATTTTTGATTTTGTTTTATTGTATTAAAAATTTTCTAATATAATGCAAGAATTATATTATCACAAGATTTTCATATAACGTTGATTGTGTATATCTCTGAATTTTAAATTTTTGTGTTATTATCGTTGATAGTAAATATATTTCTCTTCTTCTTCTCTAAATTATCAATCATTAACGTTCAAAAAAAATCAAAGCTATCATTCTTATTATTCTCCGACAAACACGAAAAACTCAATCATATCGTACTTCTTCTTCTACAACGTTTTATATATCATCAGGTTAAACTTATGTTTTCTTTCATTTTTTTTTATTTTTTGTTCGTTCCATAGACTGCTCGTTAGTTTTGGATTTTTTTTCTTCACTATTTTCACATCCCCGTTTCTACTTATTATGTTGAGTGATCACTTTTTGGTTAATTTTTCATCTTTCACATGATTATTTGTTAATTTTAATATTTTTGCGTTTTATGAATTTTTTTAAATTTTTTTTTTTAATATTGAATACTACAATAATGGTTGTTTGAATTCGAAATTGGGTATCATCTTCTTTTGTATGTTGTTTTTATGGTAGTTTATATGAGACTANAAGTTTAATCTAAATAATATGGACGGACAATAAATTCAAACGTCTGGAATTCGAAATTTGATAATTTTTTTGAGTTAAGTAATAAGAAATTTATTTATTATAAATACACTAATCCCTGCATGGCGATNACGGACAATAAATTCAAACGTCTGGAATTCGAAATTTGATAATTTTTTTGAGTTAAGTAATAAGAAATTTATTTATTATAAATACACTAATCCCTGCATGGCGATGGTAGGGGTAGTTGTGGTGGTGGTGGGGCAGTGAGAGTGGGGGTGGTGGGAACGGTGATGGTGGAGCGGTTTCAAACATTACTTTTTTTTAAAATAGTTATAAGAAATTATAAATATTAAAAACACTTTTAAAAAGTCACTTCAAATACATCTTTAGGAACCTATTTTTTCTATTAAATTTTGAGTGTTAATATTAGCTGTCAAATTAATTTTAGAATAAAATTTAAAGATCTCAACCGCGAAAAATAACAGTCATTTTATTTATTTTTTTAAATTTAAATTATATTGTACTTTATTATATAAACTAGTTATTGTATGTGCCTGAAGGCACGGAATAATAAAAAATAGTAAACAATAAACATATTTGTATTCATATTCAAAATTAAATCACAAATATAGAGGAAAGATAAATAAATTTAAGTATCAGTTGTAGTGGGGGTAAGAGGTGGTGGACGACAGTGGTGGTGATAGAAGACGATGATGGTTATGGTGGGTGACAATGACCGTAGTGGCAGTAATAGTGGCGACAGCAATGGTGAAAGTGGTGGTGGTGGTAATGATGGTGGTGGTGGCAGAGGTAGTAGTGGAGCGGTTTCAAAAACCTTTTTTTTAAAAGTATTTACGATAAATAATTTATAAAAATACTTTTAAAAAATCACTTCAAACACATCCTTAGAGACCTATTTTTTCTATTAAATTTATGGTATTAATATTAACCGTTAGATTAAATTTAAAATAATTTTAACCGTGAATAATAAAAATTATTTTATTTATCTTTTAAGATTTAAATTATAAACTATTTTATTATATAAATATATATAATATATAGGTGAAAATAAAAATCAAAGTGGGCCGATGCCGCTCCTGGGCTAGTACTGGCTCCGCCTTTGCTATCAAGTACATTGGAGTCCCATTGATATCTATCAACCTTCAAGGCCCAACCTTGCATTGAAAAAGTTGAAACCAAAGTAAAGTCTTGATCAATTAAGTAACTATCCTACGAAGGAAGTCTACAACTGGTAATCTCAGTGCTCGATCAGTAGTATGCATGCATTTTGGGCTACCCACTTGAGCTACCACAGAACGTATTGGATAAACTTGAGGGCTTCCATTTGGAAGAGTTCTGAACTCTAAGGGCTAAGGTTGTTTGGAATGATGCTTTCAAGCCCAAAAGTGACGGAGGACTTGGTACATAGTAAAGGCGACAATCGTGTCCTCACGAGTTGTATTTACGTCGTATCGTTTTAACTTCGTGTCGAATATTAATTAATTTTAATTTAACTCGTTTAAATAATCGTATCGCGTCGTATTAAATTATTTATTTTTGTGTGTATTTGTGTCAACCTATATAATCCGTGAATAAAAAATTTTAACGCTCAAATTTATGTTTAAAATTTCATTATCATTTAATAGAATCTACGCTCATACTTATTCAATAAACTAAAAAATTAACTTATCAATAATAAATTATTATATATTTTTAATAAATTATTCTTACCTATCATTTTATTAAAAAAATACTAATTTACGTGTAAGACACGCTAATGTTGTAGTAACTTCCCAATTACATGTGCAAACCATCTCCTACTATCATGTGATTTGTGTAAATCAGTTAAAAAAAAATTTCATAGACCGGGTCTTATTACATGACTTTAGCAGGCGATTAATTCTTTTTTTAGTTTGATCAAAGACATATCATTCGAACTAGGGTATTTACGAGAAATAATATCTCATCACCTAAACTTAAAAAATTATCAAAATTCGAATTAAAGACTTCTAATTTTACAGATCATCCTTGTTTAAAATAGCTCAATATACTTATTAGACGTCCTAGTTTAATTTTCTCACTAATCAAACACTAGTATTAGATTGAAGTTGGGCTCAACATTAGTTTGAATTTATTAATTTAATAATCGTAATAGATTAAATCAATAAATTAAGTCTAAATAATACTAAAATTAAATTGACGATTCTCAATCCAATCGCCAACCATTTGATGATATGAAAATAATCTTTCTGTGATATCACCGCAATTTGAAAATATGCCAAAAAATATGTATATATAAAAATTTTCCTCTTTATATATACATATATTTTTTAACAAACTATACTAATATTGTTAGATTATACTAATAGAAATTAAACTTTATTTTTTAACAAACTATACTAATATCATTAGATTATACTAATAAAAATTAAACTCCCCGATTAATCATTTCTAAGTAACGCTGATCAGACTCTTGTCTCTGTAACCTCATTTCATGGTTGAACTTCATTATGAACGCTTCAAATCGTCGATTCAACTCCTCGTGACTCATCGAAGCTTCCCTCCTCAGCCCCCCTCTTCGCTTCGCCGACACCGCATCATTGAACGTCTCCGACTTCCTCAGCTCCCTCCATGCTGACGCCACCGGCGGCGATAGCTCTGACTCAAAGCCGCCCGCCACCTCCACACTCGGCGGCGTAACCCATGTCTCACTCTTGTTGAGTTTCTTAGTCTTTGGCTTGCCTCCTCCCTCTGATATTGCCTTCCACGTTGCCTCCAATGTATCATCATCATCATTATCCTCTCTCATTTTCAGCTCGTTAATCTCTCCGGCGGCATTTTTCGAGCCATTCTCCGGCCTCTTTGTTAATGACGACTGCTGGGTTTTCTCCCGTGGAGAGTTAGTGGCTTTTTCAACGCAGTTCTGGTCTTTTATATTGCGCGACCAGTTTTGGTGGGTATGTTTATTTGGGTTGGTGGNCTTTGAGGTTTGACACTTAACCACTTAGACCTTCTGATATTTAAAATATTACACATAGGCACCATGGGTTTGTACAGACGTAACACTAAGACCCCTGCTGTCAATGTTCATTAGTATATTCGTTAGTAAATTACACACAAACCCCTTGAAGTTTTTAGACGTATAAATATTTAAACTCATCAAGTTTAAAATGTTATAATAAGATCAAAAATACTCTAATCAAAAATAGAATATCAAATATTTTAAATTTTAAAACAAAAATTCATGTTCTATTGTATCATTTATTGAAATAATATAATAAAAATTTAATTTTTTATTAAAAAAATCATAATTAGTATACAATTACACCAATTTAACCGGTGTAATTTTCACGTGCTCAACGTGTAATCAATCAATCAAAAAACCTAACTGTCTGTCCATGTGAAAACCAAAGTGACATGAATTGAATACCTTACAGATCAAATTGATAAAATTGATACATGTAGAACTAAACTGAAAATAAATATATATTTTACGGATGAAAAGTACTATAAACTAAAATTTTTTTTCTCTCTTATCAATTTGACCCCGTCAGATCAATCCAAGTGCGTACAACCACCATTTGAATTTGATTACTTGATTATTATTTTTTTGGGCAAGTAATTATTTGATTGTTTACTTTGTTAAATAGGCTAGAAAACTCTACTTTAATAATTGGGCAAATAGTAGTTTGCACCCCACAANCATAGGTGAATGAACTCTCTAATTAAATTAAATAAAGACTTTGCGAGTGATTAATGGACTGGTCAGATAAAACATATACAAGAACCTCAGATCTCTTGAGCTCAGATATTCGTTGTTAGTGCAATATCACTTGGTTAAACAAGAAAAAAAAATCAATAATGCTATTACTGATTTAATCCACGATAGTTCTTGGATTGACAGTGAAGTTCATTGAGTAAACCTGATGTCAGCCACTATTATTTTTTAAGGAGAATTACATCCAAATTCTTTGAGGTTTGACACTTAACCACTTAGACCTTATGATATTTAAAATATTACACACAGGCTCCATGGGTTTGTACAGACGTAACACTAAGACCCCTGCTGTCAATGTTCATTAGTATATTCGTTAGTAAATTACACACAAACCCCTTAAAGTTTTTAGACGTATAAATACTTAAACTCATCAAGTTTAAAATGTTATAATAAGATCAAAAATACTCTAATCAAAAATAGAATATCAAATATTTTAAATTTTAAAACAAAAATTCATGTTCTATTGTATCATTTATTGAAATAATATTAAAAAAAATTTTAATTTTTTATTAAAAAAATCATAATTAGTATACAATTACACCATTTTAACGGGTGTAATTTTCACGTGCTCAACGTGTAATCAATCAATCAGAAAACCTAACTGTCTATCCATGTGAAAACCAAAGTGACATGAATTGAATACTTTAGAGATCAAATTGATAAAATTGATACATGTAGAACTAAACTGAAAATAAATATATATTTTACGGATGAAAAGTACTATAAACTCAATTTTTTTTTCTCTCTTATCAATTTGACCCCGTCAGCAATCCAACTGCGTACAACCACCATTTGAATTTAATTACTTGATTATTATTGTTTTGGGCAAGTAATTATTTGATTGTTTACGTTGTTAAATAGGCTAGAAAACTCTACTTTAATAATTGGGCAAATAGTAGTTTGCACCCCACAAATATTAAAAATATTTAATTTGTATCCTCAAAGATCAATTGTTTCAAATTGCACCCTCAATTATATAAATTAGTAGCAATATGACCCCAATCATAATGTTTGTTGGGATTTTCATCAAATTGTTTATCACATTAGATGCATGAGATGACTTTTGTCAGATTATGACGCTTCTTCTATTCACGTACGTCTCACATGTTTTCAATCCAATAAAAATCGCCCTAGATGTTGATGGGTCAACCCCAAATGACACAATTTATTCGGAAAGTCTAATCTCAACTTAAGAGCCCAACCTTATAAACACCTACCAAAACCAATATGGTCCAAGTCTAGTCAAAATCATTAGCTTGACTACGTCATCAAGAGAGAGCATGGGAACCTTTCCTGCACCGCCGAAGAAAAAGTTCACTCTCACCTCATCCTTGACCGCATCTCATGGAGAGCGTCTCAACCACCTCGCCCGTTGAGAGGAAGTCATGAGCTCCACCGAAATAGTTGCTGTAAAGTAGCCCCAACCCGTTAGGGAGCCACTATAAATTGTACACCCCACCAACACTCGGGGGACATCATTACACTTTTACCCGAACACGACTTTCTCCTCTCCCTCAAGGCTTGTACTCTTAGCTCCCTACACCCTTGAGCTAATAAAGTGCCCGGCGACTAAAGCCATTCAAGAGTGAATGTAGATCACGTTGACCGAACCACTACAAATCTCGTCTCTTCCATTTCTCTTTACTTTAATTACTGCCTTTATTTTCATTCACTTGACAGGTGGTGTGCAAATCGATTTTGTGCATCATCAGTTTCGCATCGTCTGTAAAAAAATGAAAAAATTCTCACTTCTAAACATGTCATTTGTTGAACCAATGGTGATCACTACCAGTCCATGAACCAACCTGAAGACAATCTTCCACAAGACGAGGAGTTTGCTCCTCCACCTACCAACCTTGTCCCAAATGCTCCAGCTCTGAATCCTCAACCAATGTTGGAGACCATGCAGCAGTTGGTGGCCCAAAACCAGCAGATACTGTAACTTAGGCTCGCCGGACAAGGAGCACAACTTGAAGGGTCACAGCTTGGAGGACCTCAAGGAGCTTCACGCTCTGGACATCAAGGAGCTCCACACCCTGTTGCTCCACATCTAGGCACCCATACAGGTCTGCGCGCCCCTTAGGAGTCTCCTTGGGCGCCCCACACAGGGGAGCCCATTATGAGGGATTTCTACATCCTCCCCTTCTTGCTTCCCATGGTGAAGACCTTCATCCCCAAGAGGATAAGGGCGAGAACCAAAGGATGGAGCATGAGAGTCATTCCCATGACCATTTCAGAGGAGCCCCCAATCATTGGGACAAGAAAATCAAGGAAGTGCAAAATCAACTAGGAAACGTCTTTAACGCCATGAAGACGCAGGGACCCAAGACAATGGACTACCTATAGTTCAAAATTACCCCCTTCCTCAAAAGTTCAAAATGTCATCCATAGAGAATTTTGATGGAACGAAGGATCTACTAGACCACTTCGACACCTACAAAACCCTGATGTAGCTGCACAATGTCCTAGACGAAATTATGTGCAGGGTGTTCCCAACCACCTTGAAGGGATCCGCACGGCAATGGTTCGCTAAACTCTCCCCATCCTCCATTGCCTCTTTTGCTGAGTTAAGCAGGTCGTTCGTGTCACATTTTATTGGAGGGTGTCGCCATTGGAAGCCAATCACCCATCTGCTTAGCATAAAACTGGACCAAAAGGAGAGTCTGAGGAGCTACCTCACTCGTTTTAACGAAGAGGTACTCCAGGTTGATGAGCCCGATAACAAAGTGATTATTACTGCCTTCTTGGGAGGGCTCTGCTCGTCAAACTTCCTTTCCTCAATGATGAAGCACCCACCAAAGAGTATGTCGGAGCTACTAGCAAAGGCCCAGAAATACATGAATGTTGAGAACATCACAAGGGTCAGGCAAGGTGAGTCCTCTAGAGTAGGGCAAAAGAGGAAGGAAAGAGAGAGGGACGACAAGAAGGAGACTAGCAACAAGCGCAGCAGAACAGAGAGGATTCCCGTCAAAGATCGACTAGGTCCTGCTCCTCAGAAGAACCGACAAGCCTTAACTCCCCTCAATGCCACTGTCGGGCACATCCTATTCCAGATTCAGGATGACTTCGCGATAAAATGGCGGGGGGAAGATGAAGTCTCCTCTAAATCATAGAAATCCTAACAAGTATTGTCGCTTCCACTACGATCACGGTCATGACACCGATGATTTCTATGACGTCAAAAGACAAATTGAGGAGCTCATCCAGTGCAGTCACCTACACCAGTATGTTGTTGGTAGGGAACGAGCACCACCACCTCACAATCAAGAAGATCAGCAACCCATTTGGGAGATCCACACTATCTCGGGAAGACTAGCAGAAGGTGGAGAATCACTCTCTACTATGAAGGCCTACGCCAAAAAGGCGAGACACTTCGACGAGTGGCGCCCATCCAAGGCGCCAAATTGTAAGAAGGTACACAAAATTAGAATTATTTGTCAAAAAGTGCATAACTCTTAATGTTAGGTCATTAAATTCTTATTTTTAGAACTTATTTGTCCAAGTACACAATTTGGCTTTTTGTAATTTTTTTTTTGACATATTTGTCCTTCCTTAAATCATTCATATTTCTTTTGACAGTTAATTAGATTTTTGATTTTGTTTTATTGTATTAAAAATTTTCTAATATAATGCAAGAATTATATTATCACAAGATTTTCATATAACGTTGATTGTGTATATCTCTGAATTTTAAATTTTTGTGTTATTATCGTTGATAGTAAATATATTTCTCTTCTTCTTCTCTAAATTATCAATCATTAACGTTCAAAAAAAATCAAAGCTATCATTCTTATTATTCTCCGACAAACACGAAAAACTCAATCATATCGTACTTCTTCTTCTACAACGTTTTATATATCATCAGGTTAAACTTATGTTTTCTTTCATTTTTTTTTTATTTTTTGTTCGTTCCATAGACTGCTCGATAGTTTTGGATTTTTTTTCTTCACTTTTTTCACATCCGTTTCTACTTATTATGTTGAGTGATCACTTTTTGGTTAATTTTTCATCTTTCAAATGATTATTTGTTAATTTTAATATTTTTGCGTTTTATGAATTTTTTTTACAGTTTTTTTTTTTAATATTGAATACTACAATAATGGTTGTTTGAATTCTAAATTGGGTATCATCTTCTTTTGTATGTTGTTTTTATGGTAGTTTATATGAGACTAACAGATGCTATGAAATTATAATTTAAAAATGTATCAATACAATGTGACACTAAAAGGTTTATCTATACTCTATACAACTAATAAAAGTATCTTAGCATGAGAATTTTTGATTTATTATTTTGCCCTTGTAAAAAACTATAAAGACTAACAAGTCCTTTTGTATTTAAATATATAAATTATTATTATATCCCTCTGTAAACAAATAACAAACTAATCTTTCTATCTTTGCAAAACTTTTGAATGGTTATATTATGCTTAACATGATATATAGCAATAAAATTATTTTTTTCCTAAAACCCCAATATTAATATACATCGACAACTTTATTAATACAATATCGTCTCCAATGTCCAAAAATTGTTGTATTTATCTTTTCTCTTCATTCACAATAAAAATAATTTGATAAAAATTTACCCAGACGCAAATTAAAAACAAGAAAGAAAAAAAGGATACAAAGTTGAGAAAAAAAAATTTATAACCCATACTATTTGGTAGCTCATATAAAAGAGACACAAAAAATGAGTCCATTAAATTTTTATAGTTATGAAGAGAATACAAATAATTTAAGTATTATAAATATGAGATAATATCTAATTTAACTACGAATTAGATTTTTTAATGTATTTTATTA